ATAATTATTAGTCTTGATTTTTATGAGAGGTTTGTGTTTATATAACCCTCCGGGTTTATTGGGTGTTTATTCCCAAATCAAGTTTATCGGATGCTAAAATGATTATATGGGTTGGAACAAGCTCAAGAGCTTGATATAATTGTTGCCTCTCTTAAAAATTGTGTTTTTGTTTTGATATGTTGCTTTGAATTCATTATATTTCACTTATATGATGATATTTATGTGTTTGTGCTAATGGATCATCTATTCGTGCTTTATAATGTATTCTATGAGTGGTTTGATCAAGTCTTACAAAAGAATTTTTTGTTGATCAAACATCATTTTTGGTTTAAATGGTTGATTTATGATTTCATTTGGTTGATTTGTTTTCATTCGAAAACTCTTTTTGCATGATTCTCATGTTTTCTCTCTTTTGATTTCATAAATCTATTTTTTATACATGGTTTTTAGGCTTGTATTTTGAGACACCTATTTATCGTGACATATCATTATGTGTTCTCATTATCTTGTTTGTATGTGAGTGATATCTAGCATATCTTTTATTTATGCTTGCTCACATTTGTTTGCCGTGTTCATAATTGCATATTGAGTGATATCTAGCATATCTTTTATTTATGCTTGCTCACATTTGTTTGCCGTGTTCATAATTGCATATCTTCCATATGGCAATTTTATAGAGGGAGCAATCCCTATACTATGTGTTATACTCACCTATGCTTTATGATAGGGGGAGCCTTCGCTCTCTTACTGTTTTGTTTCCCCATTTTTGATGTTGCCAAAGGGGGAGAAACAAGTGGATTGTGAGTATATTTTAAGAGTATTATGTTTTATTGTATATCTTATATACTCTTTGTGTAGATTGTATAGATTGTTTGTCATCATCAAAAAGGGGGAGATTGTTAGGTGTCATGTTATGAGCCTACATCTTCTAATCTTGTTTTGATGATTACAAACAATTCCTAATATTATTTGTCTAGTGTTTATGTTTCTTATTAGGTATTGTAGACAAACAACGTAGTTGGAGGATGGATGGAATAGAGCTTCAACGAGGATATCCAATGGAGGTTGGCAGAATGTTGGTGAAGCAACATACAATTCAAGTTAAAGATCAAGTTCAAGCTTAATCCGCAATGTGTACCAAGTTAAGCCACAATGAAGATCAAGATCATTGCTTGGGTTACCTTAGTATAGGTTTATATTATGTGTGTTTAATACGTTAAGCTCAATATATATATATATATATATATATATAAAGTTTTGTTTTCTATGTATATATATTTAGTTATATATATACATGCATGGTTTTGGGTTTTCATGTTTATAATATGAAATCACATATTTCATATTTACTATTGTGTTTTTGAAAACATTGCATAGAATATGCAATTTTGTGAAAATATTGTCTTATTAGTTTATAGACTTCAATATTAGTTTATACATGTTTTACTAAGTCTATAAAAACATTTTACAAAGTTTTAAAAGTTGGTTTATGTCAAAACATCAAAATTCAAGTATATCATATTTTCATGTTTTGGATTATTTTAAAAAATGATGATATTTTTCATTTGGGAAGTCCTTTTTCGAAACCAGTTATTGTAGCATGTTTATTATCATGTCTACAATCATTCCCCAAAGTTTTACATTTTTTAGAATTTCGACAGAGAGTTCGTCGGTCGACCGTCGCGGTCGACCGAGAGCTTCCTTCGGTCGACCGCACCGGTCGACCGGATAAGTCAGCTTTTGTTCTTCTCGTTTTGACCTAGATAGCGGTCGACCGGACTTTTCCGTCGGTCGACCGAACTTCTCCATCGGTCGACCGACAGAATTTCCGGTCGACCGCCAATGTATCCGTTGGCTTCCAACGGCTATTTTTCTGAGCTGTTTGCTAGGGCTGTTTTTGTCTTTTGTTAGGGGTTTTGGCTAAGTTTTTGAGTGGGTATAAATACCCTATTGCTGTTCTCTTTCAACTTAACTAAGAGAATTGTTTAAATAAGTTTAAGGGTGTTTTGTGTTTGTTTAAAAGAGTGTTTAAGAGTTTTGTTTGTGAAGCAAATTTCACAAGAGCAAGTGGAGATCATCCTTTGGTGTTTAAGCATTCACTCTTCTCCCACACTCTTATCATCTTTAGAGAAGTGTTTCTAAACTCATCTAGAAATTTATTATTTTGATTATAATTTCCATAAGCTAGATTTATATTAAGTTTAGTGTAATTGATTTTATTTATCTCTTTGTACACACACAACCATTGAGCTTATTGTATTTACATTCATAGTATAATTGGGTTGTGGGATTGTGTAACTTAGAGAGTGAGCTTATAATTCGTTCTCATTCATTGTAGAGAACAAACACTTTGTATTGATCCTAATTGTAAGGATTCACTTGTAATACACTTGTACACCGAGAGAAGTGTGTGGTGAGATGGCGTCGGTTGACATGCCTAGGGAGAGGTTATAACCGAGCACTTGAGGAGGAGGACACGGGCTAGGACCAACACTTAGTGTGTGAGGTGTGATTCATAGTGATTGTATTGTGAGGTGTAAACGTTGTTCGGGTGAACGTAGAAAACTCGGTTGTGATAGTGGAGATCTCCTCGAGGTGAGGAGCGGAGACGTAGGTCGTGGGGACCGAACTCCGTAATCATATTGTTTGTTTGTGATTGCATTGGCGTACTTATTTTTATGTTCATATCTTATATTGCCTTTGTACATTGCTTGTTGATTATATTGCCCACTATCTAGTTTTAGATTGTTTACCCTTGTGTTTATATATCCTTGCACATACATTGCCTATATCTCTTTGTTAGGATATATCTTGTTGTTCATATTGCTTATCCTAGCTCATATACATTGTGGTATTTCATACTTGCTAGGATAACTTGTTAATTAATTTTAATTGGCATTTAATCGGATTAGATTAGCATAAGACCCTAATCACCCCATTTCTCTACCTTAAGGTGGAACTCGAGATTTTATATGAGTTCAGGGATGGAGGGGTTGCCCACTTGGATCTCAAAGAAGCCATAGGAGGAATATTCTTCCATGTTACTGATGACAGAAGGGGGCAGATCTATGTTGGGAATAAAGAGAGGAGATGGGGAAGGAACTAGAGGAGTAATGTTATGGAGGGGAGGATTCTTCTTGTTCTGACAGGAAGCCGAAGTGTGGCCTACCATGTTGCATGCAAAGCACTTGAAATCTCCCAAAGAACAATTTTTAGCCACGTGGCTTTTGTCCCCGCAACGGAAACACCTAAGGGGTTTAAGAGGGAGGGGGGAAAGGGAGATGGCTTGCGGCGTTTCCTGTAAGAGACAGTCTTTCAGCCCTCTTCTGGGGGAGGAGGAAGAGGGAGAATGCCCTTGAGGGAAGAAGGCGACTGAAGAGAGGAGGTAGAGGGGCGGTTAAAGCTCTTGAAGAGGTATGCAAAAGAAGAAAATGGAGGGGCTGAGGGATGAAGATGCTTGGGGAGGGCGGTTTTTGGGGGAGGAGGGGGAAAAGTGAAAACCGTGGGTGGGTTTGAAGGCTAAGAAGCTGGTTTGGGTGGCACAGAAGGAAGAGGGACAAGCGTCAGATGAGAGATAGTGACCTGACCATTACTGAGAGCAACTCCAATGGGGAGGCTGCAAAATGCAGCCTCCCCAAAGAATATGTTTGGGGATATGCTTTTTTAGAGGGGGGGCACTCCAACCACCCCCTCTATAAGAAGCTCCATTTGTATTTTCAATTGATTTCTTTTATAATACTTTAAATAGATTTAAAAATATAAAAAATATAAAATGTTAAAAAAATTATATGATTTAATTTAAAATATAAAATATATTATAAAATAATACTAAAAATATAATATATAATATACTCATTATTTAAATAAAATTAATTATCTTTAATAAATTGATAATAAGACATAGATAAGACATAGTATACAAAGTGTTTGCCTCCATACCTCAGTTTTTTTTCCCCTGTAAATTATTTCAATTTAAGGGGCATTTAATAGAGGTAAGATTAAATAGGCGCATACGCATTGGTGACGGTTCCCATCGAACCCCGCCACCCCCTCGAGAGTCGAGCGCAGGCAAACATATGAGGCTGCGCTGTGCTAGGGATGGTGCGAGCCGGCCGAGGTCTTGGTTTCTTTCTGGCCTGAGCTCTAGTCGCCTGGGATCAGCCGTTATCTCTTTGCGGACGCATGCGGGCGTTTAACTTCGACTCGGGTTTTGCCAAACAAGAAAAGGGTAGACAGAGATTAGGATAACAGAAGGGTTCGACACAAAAAGTCCATGGATGAAAACTGTTGAGATGCTATTTGACATTCAAAACAAAGAACGATTTGTCAAGAAAATGATTTCCTAATAAAGTTTCATATTAAAAAAAAAGGGATAGTTTCAATCTTGCAGGCTTTCATAAATGGAAGAATCTTATCATCATGACAATGGACAAGTAGATTATTGACTTATTTTCTGGATGCGGAAAGTTAGATGTAAATCCAATCCAGAACGGTTAACAGAAAAAAAAATCAAAGGGTTTGCCCTGCAGCTAGGTAAGAAACGAAAATAATGTGATCTCCTTCTGTTCGATCTGTATTATTTATTTATCACAAAAATAACTACAAAATCACCTAGAAATCTGTACTGACGCAAACAAACTGCTCCAGATTAAGAATTTACAGAATCGATATACATGAAGTATATTCATATGGTCATTTATTCATTAAAGCTGTAATGAAGTAAAAAAAAAATACAAGCAATCCGTTCCTGCGGACAATCTATTGCATTTCATGAAAGATGAAATATAACAGAAGCCTTTACTCGTATTCTGAGAAGATAAGACTGGCAAAAAGCACAAAAGATGTATATTTTTTGTATTTTAGATAAAACTAGGAGGGGTGATCACTGCTAGGCAGTATCAAGCAGCAAATTTTGCCTTAAATTTCTCATAAAATGCAACCAATATCAAGCAGCATCAACAATAAATATAATCCTAGACAAAATAGATGGGCCACCAAAATCAAATAAAAATCCAATCATAGACTTTTAAAGTGACCCAAACAAAGTTTTAAGACTTAAACATTAGGGGGGGAAACACGCGCGCGAGCGCACACACAAGAGTATCAGTTGGATACTACCAATCCATCCATCAGCAAACTGAATGCTCCCACGACGAAACAGACACAAACAAAGACTGATGGAATTCCTCCCAGGGCCAGGATAACTTTCATTAAAAAAACCTGGGAAAATATTCCAAGATACGAAACAACTAGGAAAAAACTGTTTTTCTCTTTATTCATGACAAAAGAGAGAACTAAAACTCTCAGAGAGAAAATAAACTGAACCCACCTCAAGAAATGCCTTCATCCAGAACCGGAACCAAACCATTCATCCAAGCCATCAAGCTTCGTCATCGCATCAGTATACTTCATTCCATAGAAACCAACAGTTCGCATTCCTCCAAATTCTTCATTGAAATTATTGTTCTGGTTCTCAAACATCAAGCTCTGCTCCTGCTCCTGGGCCTGCTCATAAACATTGCTCTCCATATTATACTCTGGAATATAATACCCATTCTGGTTATTCATCATCGCATTCTGGTGAAAGCTTGGTTCTTGAACATGCGCCATTTTTTCCTGTATAAAATTTGAACTCAAATTAGTAGGCATTACCATAGTCCGATCATTGACATTAGTGTCATATTGGTTCATCAGATTGCCAATCTGCTGGTTATCATTGATTTGGCTCTGGTTCAGCTGGTTGTATTGATAAGCATAAGGAGCAAATCCTGCAGTGGCATGAATCCCCGGATTAACTGATGAGCTAGCACGATACTGGCAACTGTACTGATGAATGTTTCTTGTACCCCGATCAGCAAATCCATTACAGAATTCATGACGAGGGCAGCCGATATTTTCACAGATAAATAGAGGAAACGGTTGCTGATATTGATCCTGTGGCATTATTGCTGCTGCTCTCTTATGAGCATGATTCATACTTCCCTCTCCCTCAATCTTGATCCCCTTATTCTTTTGCTTCTTTCCAGAATCTTCATCATCTTTGCTATCCTCTCTGAGATTGTAATACTCAACATCATAATCACTGCAGGAACTGCTGAAGGAAGAAGCTAAACAGTTGTTTCCTTTATTAACTGGCAATTTTGGTACCTGAAACTCAGGATGCTTCTGTCTATAACATCGATCTTCTTGATCCAGCACAGCTGACCATAACAAGCTCTCTTTTGCCGTCAGTTTATCTTGAAGACACTTTGATTGCTTAATAAGCTGACGAATCTTATCAGTGTTCGGAGAAATGTGTTTTATGACAGCAGTAAGCACTGCAACCTTCCAAACTTTTTTAAGATCGTGGGGTTTCTTATAAGGCGGTTTTCCCTTATCAGTGGGGAATCCCAGCTCGATCCACCAATCATCGGTCAAGTCAGGCCACCATGGCGGTGGCGACCCTTTCTCAAGAGGAAACCTCCTTTGTGGTGGCTCACAGTGTTGCATCAGAGCCGAGAGCAGTGATCCAAGAGTTGTATCTTGAATTTCATGCAATTTTACACGAATGTTTATATCAGCTTTTTGTTCATCTAAAGCAGAAGCAGCAGCATGCTCAGCCGAATACTTTGCAACAGCTGCAGGTCCATTTCGGTCAAATCGCACCTTTTCCTTCCACCAACCTCGTAAATTTTCAGAGGCACCGGTGACTGGCTTGCCATTTTCAGGGATTATTCCATACACGAAGCCCTCGGCGTTGCAGGACTCCATCATTTTTAGCATGTACCGGAGTACTGTATCTTGAGCTCTTGAGAATTTCTTTTTTCGAGCGAGTTCTTTGCTTTGTGCAGGTTTAGGCTCGGCAATGAGTCCTGTTTCAGACATCAAAAGCTTATTTCTTCTGAGACGCTTCAGTTTCAGAGTGTCTTTCCATATTCGGCACACGAGAGTTTCTTCATCCTCGCTCAGTTCTCCATCTTCGTCGTCATCGTTGTAATCCATATTCGGAGGAGGAAGAGGAAGAAGCATGGCATAGGGAATATCAGGTATTTCTTGATTTTGCCCTTCCATTTTTCAAACAAAGAGTAAAAAGAATAATTTGTATCTACTTCCTGCAATTTTAGATAGGAATATCAAACACATTAAGATACCTATTAAACATAAAGAGTTTATGTAAGAAGGGGCCGAAAAAAAGATTTTTTTTTTTTCAAGATAGACGAGGTCAATCTAATGAAACTTATATTCACATTCAAATGAGGGGAAAAAATAACTTCAATCATGGCCTACTTTTGGTAAGCTTGCCTACTGACTTATTACTACAATTATTAACCAATAATAGTAACAAGTCACACAAAATTGAAGTGGATACATGCTGCATAATCACAGACGAGTAAAGTGATTGAGATTGCTTTTACTGATACAAAATATTGAAATAATGTTTGTTATTCAGTTGTTCTTTCAAGATACACCAAGAACAAAATCTCTTTGGATTCTGAATTTAATAAGAAATCTTTTTCATCAATGCACACATGCAATAATATAACTGGTATGTTACATATAACTAATATGAATCTTCCTATAGATATGATTTTAAACATCTATAGCTGTGAGCATGCAAACTAATCAAGTCAGCCAGACCTAAGCTACATAAGCTCAGGGAATTTGTATAGAAACCAACACAACAAGATCGTTGATTACTATTGGAAATTTCATAATCTCCAACTAAAAAAAAATCCATGTAACAGATTAGCTGAGTGGCACTTAAGCTTAAAAATTAACCAGTACTAAGGGCAGGACATCATAAAAACATAACAAGGGTTGAGGAATTATGAACGAATTTGGAATGCCCGTTTGCTCATGATGTAATCCCCTCCCCCTCCAACAAGGGATGATGAATTATGTATGAATTCTTCCATTATGGATCTCTTCCCCACCTAAATATTCTGTCTTTCCATATTAGCCATAAAGTTGCCAATAATAGCCATAAATTTGTCATAATAAAACAGTCCCCTGACCTTAACTAATTATACGGAAAATTATAAATATATTTTGACTATGATGCAAGACAAGAATGTTGAAAGTTTATATATGTTTTAGAGTTTTGTTGTTACAAGGTTGGGTATAATTTACAGTTCATATCTGATTGGGAAACTAGCAAATCTTGACGCATGAGGCTTGGTCAAGTAAGCAGGCAAAATTTTGTTTAGTAAGAAGAACAGGGACAAAGTACAGGAATGTTTTTACAAAGAGGAACACACTTAGGTTCAATATGTCAGTGCACAATGCTAAGAATATTCTAAAGTGTATATTCAGATCTTTTTGAACTCTTTTGGTTGCAAGTAATACATTGTTGTATATTGAAAAGTAAAATGTAGACATAAATCCTGCAAAGTAGAACACCTTAGAATGATGGCTCTTAATAAAGTTAAATACTAAGCTAATGTCACAAACATCAGAAAAAAAAATCACCAATCTGGATTTGCGACTGTTGGATTTACCTAGTGAAAGGTCTATAACACTGATATTACTTCCTTAAATAATAGCAAGACAACCATTTTGATTTCCGATTGCAAAAGTATAAAAAAGTAGGAGAAAAATAACTGAAGAGACATAATATGCGAAAATCTATATCATATAAAAAATTGAAAAACAAGTAGAACATAAAAAAAAGCTACTGCTTTTATCTTTTAATTCTGTTGCAGGCGCAGCTCAGATGAAAAATCAAGCACAATCCGTAAAAATAAACAAATCATATGCAAAATGAAAGCAGATGCTTAACAATTAAATGTTAATTAAAAAATAATAATGAGAAAAAAAAACTTTCCGACATGGGAAACACAAGATTAATACAGTGTAAATAAATAAAGAATATTGATTTACTTTTATTCTCGAATAAACTTTTGAAAAAAAGTAAAGAAAGAAACAAAAGAGATAGGCTCTAGTGGACCAGCTGCTCGATCATGAACTTCAGGAAGTCTTATTTCATGAACAAACAACCAAAGAAGCTAAAAATGAAGGAATGGTGTTTTCTTTTCCAGAAAATGTGCTTGAAAATGAAACATGAAATGAAGAAACTAGTGCTTTCTTTTCTATTCAAACTACCTCCATTACTGTCTAATAGTAATGGACTAAAACTAATGATGAAAAGGATGTTTGTAAAATTCTAATATGAATATAGCATAAAACCAATTAAAAGATAACAATAAAAAAGTTCACCTTCAGTTACTCGAAGAACTAAAAGAATTGAATAAACGAATCACAATTTATGTATATAATTGAATTGATAAGTAGTAGTAAAAGTGTATGATGTGAAAAGGTACTTCAAAGTGGTTGCAGAAATGTAGAAGTAGAACCACTGTTGCGTGCTTCTATATCCTCATCAGATCGCCTTACAAGATCCAAAACCCATCTAAATATAAAATTATAGAAAAGGAGATTGAGATCTGAGGGTATATAGTAGTAGATAAATAAAATAAACTATTATTTATGTCCATATACTGATTACTCTATGGAGAAAATGCTGTTGGAAAATGTTAAGCAAAACAGATAAAGCAACAGCTGATTTGCACAATCCTAAAGTAAAGGATGACAGCTTATGAAGGGAAGATAGAACATCATGCTTTAGAATATGGTAGAAAAATAAACGAAGTGCAAGCATTGACCAAGTACATTTGCAATAATGCATAAAAATAGGGTGAGAAAATGAAATGTAAAGATTATTTAAATTCTAGCATATCTTGTTATTTATAGAAACAAGACTTGACACAAGTAATGCAATTAACAAACTTTGAAATCTTTCAGTTGAGCTCCTCCCGAATCAGGGAACTGAGACAGCAAGATAAGAGATCAAGTATAATAAAAAAGAGCATTAAATTTACATGTAACATTAATTGTGCCAGAAATGGTTCAAAGCTCTTTTAGATATATTTATTTTTATAATGTTGCGTACTAAAATTCTAAATCCGCAGAATATCTGAATACTCACATAGACAAGACATAGTAAAAGAATTCAAGAAACCAAAAATAATAAAAAACACTTCTAGATAACATAAAGAAATCTTACATTCAGTCAGTTCTACAAGGAAAATAACTAAATGAGGATCATTAATAAGTTCGATATACAGATATCTCCATATACATTATAATGTTATTTAACTTACTAATTAGAGTAGGAAATAAAACAACCTAGCTTGTGAAAGATATACACTAGATTGATATGAAGAGAATAATCGAGTAGCAAATCTTCGTTAGAAAATGATGGAAAAGTAAAGATATAACTCGAACAATCGGCAACGGAATTCGGAGTACTGTTGGGAAAGAATATTAGTAAATCAAAATATTCTTAACATGTGAATTGTAATGATAATTGTCACCAGGCAGAGAAAAACTATAAACAAAGAACGAGTTAAAAAAGGCATAGTAATGATGATAGTATTCGCTATCCATTTATTAAATTAAAAGGAGCAGAAGTAAAGATTTCCTTAGAAACAATTTACCATCAGGCAATTTGAGCTACCAATCCATTCATATATGACACGTTCTGCATGTTTCAATTAGTGTTCGTATGTGCGTGTTTAGGGAAATTTATACCCACGAGGAAGTTGATTGGCCTGTAACATATTTTAAATTCATGGAGTGTTCATAGAGATAGTCTAGAAGGAGGCATGCAAAATTTTAAATTTTGACTGCAAGGAAGAGGGAAAATGTGAAATCTGCAATATATATTTTGAAGGGAATATCAGAAACTGTCTCTCTGTCAAATTTGGTTTTTATATAGAGAATAAATTACATGTAATAAGTTTTTCAAGTTAACCCTAGATATTCGGACAAATTTGGAACACTCAGCATAACTGAAAAAATTATTTAGACAATTTGAGAATAGAAACACAAAAATGCACATAAACAAACATAGAAGGAAACAAACAGTGATTCCATAGTATAGGAAAATATGAATTAAATAATGGGATGATGCCATGAGTGAACTGATTTTTCCATAATTCATAGACCCAACTAAAGAAATATATGTTCAACTCCAAAAAATTTGGGATTTGGCAAACCGTTGGCAACTGATTCATAGGTTTGCATCGCACAAAAACTAATCATCACCTAGGTAGATGTTACGAAAAAAGTTATAGTTATACAAAATCACTTCTGGCACCAACATTATCGAAGGGATATTACAGAACAAAACATCCAAAAACCAAAAGATGTACTTGTGTTTAAAAAAAAGACTTTCAGATCTTGCTTTTTTGGGACCACAGAAACTGCATACAGCAGGTTGTGATCAAATGCTTGAAGGAGTCACCATTTTATACATTCAATTTCTTGAAGATCAGATCAGACATGCAGATGTTAGCAGACACCATTAAAAAAATAAAGCAATGGAGTATCACCAGGTAAAGTAAAATTTGATTAAGAATATAAGATATATACAAATGTTTGCTATATGCAACATGTGTATAGTTCTTACTAATAATGAATACCTTACTTTAAGAAAAAACTTTGTCATCTAGTCCCTATATCTAACCCTACTACAAACACATAAAGTAAAAGCTAAAATTTTCAACTAAAGCTAAACGCCTTAATCTAAACCCTAAAACCAAACCGGAATCACAAATCTAATCTAAAAAGAACTTGATCAAAAGTTTTACCATCTTGTTGAAGAGAATTGGTTTGGGTCCTCAAAGGTATAAGGTTAGAATTAGGATTAGCTTTTGGATTTTGATTGGCGATGAAGATAGGTAAAAAATTATGTACCAAGAATATTTGGACCTGGATTGCTACCTAGATTAAGGATAGATATAAATGAACTAATGTTTTTGTTGTTGTTTTTTATTATATTCTTAATACTTTTGTTTTCCAACTTTAGAAGGAAAAAATAAGATTGAAATTTCATTTGACCATCACATGATCAATTTTGGTTGATCGAGCAATCAAAATGCTAATATGAGAGATTAACTTGAGTGGAGGGATTAAATCTAATATGTAAAGTAAAAAATTAAATTTGTCACACAAGAGATACTAGAATCGTAACTTGCAAGTAAAGTATGATTAAAAAAATGGCAAAAATCTAATTTACCCTAACAATTTTTCATCAAGATGACTCTTGGAT